CGATGGGGTGGATGGGGGGGCCCTGGATGGTAGGGGGGGTGGTTGTGAGCAGGAAGAACTAAGGGGGGAGGGCCCAACCTGTGCATGCTGATCCAGTTCACCTTGGACCTGGTGCACCTCGGTTAGTGAATTTTTGAGTTGACCCGGGGGCGGTGTTGGGAAGAACTCGGGCGGTCTGTATGTCCATAGGTGGTCCTGTGCTGCCCAATTCTTCCATGTCAACCTTCCGTCATTTTGTACTTCAGCTAGTTTGTGGTTCGGGTCTATCCACTTTACTGTGAACGCCGCAATTAGCTTTTGCCTACTGTCTTGGTCGGGGGCTGCACTCACTTTTTGTATTCAGTCTTTGCTGGCTTTCAACATGTTTGTCCTGATCACCTCAAGCAGGTTTGCTTTGGCTTGGTGAAAAACAAAGGCCTCTTCTTGGCGTTCTGCTGAGCACCTCATCCTCCAGATGACCATGAGAATGGCCAGTCTCATGTGCTTGAAAAAATTATGTTGGAAGGGTGTCTAGGATGAAGGGAAGCTTCTGTTTTTTCCCAGTAGGATAAGGGCAATATTCCTTCGAAAAGGTGAGTCTGTGAGCTCGTGCCACATGGCATCCCACCATTGCCAAACCTGCATTGCCATGGGGCACGCCAGCAGGCAATGTTCCAAGTCAGCTCGTCTGCGCTTCGCACCATCTCCACAACGGGAGCATATTGGAGATAAAACTCCTGTTTGTGAGGTTATCCAGTCCGGGGTAGACATTTCATAGGCAAAGTAGCCTATGTCATCGTCACCTACCACCCTCACTCTGGTCAAATCTTCTGTTGAGAGCCACTTATCCAGTTTGAGGTCCCTTTTCAGGGGGGCCCAACGTGCTCCGGGGACTTCTGGTTCATATGCCTGGAGATGCGCCTGTTGCCCTGTGCACTGGGCCACCCTGAAAATGGTCATGGGGATGGGGTTGTGGGTGATCTGCGTTACCCAATCCAGACTACATATCATGGGGCCCTCTTGTAGAGCAGTCACCCATGAAGGCGGGACTGCCATGTGGATGAGGTCCAACTTGTCCTGTCTTTTTCTGATGTACTTCAGGCTTGGCTGTAGCTGCTGCACGATCTTCCATACACCTCTCTGGTTGTCCCTCCACAATTTCCCTCCACAATTGTAGTATCGCAGGCCACAATGGGTCGTGTTTAAGGTCCCTTCGCACACTGTTG